CTTGTTTTAGTTATTCAGACTAAAGAAAAAAAGATTAAAAAAATATAAAAGATACGGAGCTGTGCAAAATGAACACACTTTTACAAAGTGTAGCATGTGCATAACAACTTGAACCAAAAGGCCAATAAGAGTCAATCTAGAGTCTTTCATAAGCCTATGTCAACCTCGTTTTGTAAACAATTTGGGCAATACGTCGTAGTGCAGTTTTCATCATTCTAAGCTCTGACCCGGAAACAATGAACGTATGACTGTTACCAAGAATATCGCGATCATACGAGTAGCCATATAGCGGACAATAGTTCCGCACATGCTTGAATCGGGACGAGCAACCTAAGTTTCTAGAAAAATAAGCATTACACATCAATATGCAGTGTAGCTGCAATAACCGAAAATAATGCAAAGGTAAAGGCCAAACAAATATAAAACTGACCTTTATTACTTACGATGTTCCACAAAGTTTTTTAAATTGGAGTGGTAGTTGTTTTATTACTATTGTTCATTCCTCAATCATTTGAAAATGCTTTACAACTCAAAGCAACAAAGTGAAGTCGTAACAAGGCATCAAAGCAAATACATCTAAATTTTATTCTTACTCATGAAACATCCCACAAATTTGTTAGCCCTAGTGAAGTTCAATTCTCAATTTAAGATAGCGAAGAAGGAGGTGGGACAGAAGTTGCAATTATACAATGATTAAATACTCGGTCAGCCCTAGCTTGAATGGCAGTTCTGTTCCCGGTGTGTTCATAAGTAAAGGTGCTATTCACGAAAACATTATGGCACGGTTTTCCCAGCGCCACAAGAGCCCGGCAACTAAAGTCACCGATTTTCTTCCCTTTGAAAATATAGTTGTACACGTCGAATGCGTACTTTATGCTGAAATGTTTTTTGCACTCAACCACTGCCGGCGAGTCATCCAAATGCGCCAATGTTGGAAGTGCGCAATTTGCCACAAGCAAAATGACCATAATTGGAAACATGTTTAGCCCGGCCATAATGATGGAAATAATGAGTGACTTTTGATTTTCTTAGAAAATGATCCCTTAGATTTGGTTGAACTCTGGTGCAAGGAGTTCTATACTTATAAGGGATGAGGCAAAGATGAGAATCATTCGTAAAATGAAAAACGCATTTTCCTTTAAAACTGCTTTAGCAACGTATTTGCTATGTGAGGTATCAAATACGAGGGTTTCTAATTTGGTGTTTATTTTTCGTAACGTAAACTCAACTTACAAGTACCCATAAATTGTTTAATTAATCTCAACAATCACCTAGCTATTTATTATTTCACACTAAAATTATATGTTTGCAAATTAATACACCGACTAGTTTAATACAATAGAGTTGCGAAAACCGGTGAACTGAACTTGGATGTCGTGTTAGTGACTACCGTTGCGTGAAAAAGTGACGACAAGTAGGAAAAAGAACGCGACTAGCCTTAATTGTTCTGCAATAAATGGACAAACATATTTCTCGACGTTATTATTCCTACCATGTCAAAATGAAAATGTGACGTAAGAGATTTAATTTGTTAAGAAGCGAAGAATTGTTGAAGTACAATACAGTAACTAAATGAGCACCCTTTTCTTGGTAAACTCATTTTAGAACAAATATTATATCACACCCTACTGCGTATAGTACAATACTCATGCCCCACACGCCCGGATATAACGTTCACGATCTACAGTTGCGTCAATGTTAAGTTTCAAATCATTCAACAAATGTTCTTGTTTTGTTTTTTCAGACTAAAGAAAAAAAGATTAAAAAAATATAAAAGATACGGAGTTATGCAAAATGAACACACTTTTTCAAAGTGTAGCATGTGCATAACAACTTGAACCAAAAGGCCAATAAGAGTCAATCAAGAGTCTTTCGTAAGCGTATTTCAACCTCGTTTTGTAAACAATTTGGGCAATACGTCGTAGTGAAGTTTTCATCATTCTAAGCTTGGACCCGGAAACAATGAACGTATGACTGTTACAAAGAATATCGCGATCATACGAGTAGCCATATAGCGGACAATAGTTCCGTACATGCTTGAATCGGGACGAGCAACCTAAGTTTCTAGAAAAATAAGCATTACACATCAATATGCAGTGTAGCTGCAATAACCGAAAATAATGCAAAGGTAAAGGCCAAACAAATGTAAAACTGATCTCTATTACTTACGATGTTTCACAAAGTTTTTTAAATTGGAGTGGTAGTTTTTTTATTACTATTGTTCATTCCTCAATCATTTGAAAATGCTTTACAACTCAAAGCAACAAAGTGAAGTCGTAACAAGGCATCAAAGCAAATACATCGAAATTTTATTCTTACTCACGAAACATTCCACAAATTTGTTAGCCCTAGTGAAGTTCAATTCTCAATTTAAGATAGCGGAGAAGGAGCTGGGACAGAAGTTGCAATTATACAATGATTAAATACTCGGTCAGCCCTAGCTTGAATGGCAGTTCTGTTCCCGGTGTGTTCATAAGTAAAGGTGTTATTCACGAAAAACATTATGGCACGGTTTTCCCAACGCCACAAGAGCCCGGCAACTAAAGTCACTGATTTTCTTCCCTTTGAAAATATAGTTGTACACGTCGAATGCGTATTTTATGCTGAAATGTTTTTTTGCACTCAACCACTGCCGGCGAGTCATCCAAATGCGCCAATGTTGGAAGTGCGCAATTCGCTACAAGCAGAATGACCATAATTGGAAACATGTTTAGCCTGGCCATAATGATGGAAATAATGAGTAACTTTTGATTTTCTTAGAAAATGATCCCTTAGATTTGGTTGAACTATGGTGCAAGGAGTTATATACTTATAAAGGATGAGGCACAGGTGAGGGTCATTTGTAAATTGAAAAACGCATTTTCCTTTAAAACTATTTTAGCAACGTATTTGCTGATGTGAGGTATGAAATACGAGGTTTTCTAATTTGGTATTTATTTTCGTAACACAAAACTTACATGTTTGCAAATTAATACACCAACTAGTTTAGTACAATAGAGTTGCAAAAACCATGAACTGAACTTACATGTCGTGTTAGCAACAATCATTGTGTGAAAAAGTAACGACAATCAGGAAAAAGAACACAACTCGCCTTAATTGTGCTGCAATAAATGGATAAACATATTTATCAAGCATTATTATTCATATTATAACAAAATGAAAATGTGACATAAGAGATTAAATTTGTTAAGAAGTGAAGAATTGTTGAAGTACAATACATTAACTAAATGAGCACCCCTTTCTTGGTAAACTCATTTTAGAACAAATATTATATCACACCCTACTACATATGGTATAATACTCATGCCCCACACGCCCGGATATATCGTTAACGATCTGCAGTTGCGTCAATGTTAAGTTTCAAATCATTCAACAAATGTTCTTGTTTTGGTTATTCAAACTAAAGAAAAAAAGATAAATATATATTAAAAGATACGAATGTGTGCAAAATGAACACACTTTTACAAAGTGTAGCATGTGTATAACAACTTGAACTAAAAGGCCAACATGAGTCAATCAAGAGTCTTTCATAAGCCTATTTCAACATCGTTTTTTAAAAAATTTGGGCAATACGTCGTAGTGAAGTTTTCATCTTTCTAAGCTTGGATCCGGAAGCAATGAACGTCTGATTGTTGCCAAGAATATCGCGATCATACGAGTAGCCATATAGCAGACAATAGTTCCGTACATGCTTGAGATGGGACGAACAACCTAAATTTCTAGAAAAATAAGCATTACACATCAATATGCAGTGTAGCTGCAATAACCGAAAATAATGCAAAGGTAAAGGCCAAACAAATGTAAAACTGATCTCTATTACTTACGATGTTTCACGAAATTTTTTAAATTGGAGTGGTAGTTGTTTTATTACTATTGTTCATTCCTCAATCATTTGAAAATGCTTTACAACTCAAAGCAACAAAGTGAAGTCGTAACAAGGCATCAAAGCAAATACATTGTTATTTTATTCTTACTCATGAAACATCCCACATATTTGTTAGCCCTAGTGAAGTTCAATTCTCAATTTAAGATAGCGAAGAAGGAGGTGGGACAGAAGTTACAATTATACAATGATTAAATACTCGATCAGCCCTAGCTTGAATGGCAGTTCTATTCCCGATGTGTTCATAGGTAAAAGTGTTATTCACGAAAACATTATGGCACGATCTTCCCAGCGCCACAAGGGCCCGGCAACTAAAGTCACCAATTTTCTTCCCTTTGAAAATATAGTTGTACACGTCGAATGCGTACTTTATGCTGAAATGTTTTTTGCACTCAACCACTGCCGGCGAGTCATCCAAATGCACCAATGTTGGAAGTGCGCATTCACAAAAAGCAAAATGACCATAATTGGAAACATGTTTAGTCCGGCCATAATGATGAAAATAATGAGTAACTTTTGATTTTCTTAGAAAATGATCCCTTAGATGCAGTTGAACTTTGGTGCAAGGAGTTATATACTTATAAAGGATGAGGCAAAGGTGAGAGTCATTTGTAAAATGAAAAACGCATTTTCCTTTAAAACTACTTTAGCAACGTAATTACTGATGTGAGATATCAAATACAAGGGTTTCTAATTTTGTATTTATTTTTGTACCATAAATGAAACTTACAAGTTCCCTTAAAATGTTTAATTAATCTGAACAATCACATAACTATTTATTATTTTGCACAAATATTTCTTGTCTGCAAATTAATTCACTGACTAGTTTATTACAATAAGGTTGCAAAAACCATGAACTGAACTTACATGTCGTGTTAGTGACTATTATTGCGTGAAAAAGTAACGACAATCAGGAAAAAGAACACGACTAGCCTTAATTGTTCTGCAGTAAATGAAGAAACGTATTTATCGAGCATTATTATACCTATTATACCAAGATGAAAATGAAAATATCGTATTGTCTAATAATCGAAGTATAAATTTTTGAAGTGTTTAAGAGAGAGTAGATTTGTTGCTCAATCTAAAAGAACGTCAATGTGTTTGGATCCACATATATCTAACTGTACGTAGCTAATTTCTTCAACCCCATTTGTCTCATTTCATCACGAACCTTATTAGCCTCATCCCACCGTTCGTGAGTGGCGTATGTATTCGATACGAGAGCATAAGTTCCGATGCCTACTCCTCTACTCTTGAGGAGACCATTTCTGATCCTCTTAAGCATCTTCTCATTCCCATGAATTTTGCATGCATTAAGCAACGCTCCCCAAACAACGCCGTCTGCTTCTGTTGGCATTTCCTTCATGAAATTCTCTGCTTCCTCTAAGAACCTTGCTCGACCATACATATCAACTAGGCAGGCATAGTGCAGTGTTTGAAGGGCAATCCGATAAACATTTTTCATAGCATTGAAAATCATCAACCCTTGATCAACTAGACATGCGTGACTACATGCTGATAACAAGCCAAGGAAGGTTACATCATCAAGAGGAATCCCGTGGACTAGCATGAGCGAAAAGAGCTGCAACGTGTGTATACCATAACCATTCATGGCCATGCCGCTTATGATGGACTCCACGAAATGTGATCCTTGCAAACCAGGGTTTTAAAAACCGAAACTGCCATACATACTTGCCCATACTTTACATACATGTTTATTAATGCATTTCCCAGAATGCCATTCAACACGAGATCTGGCCGTGCACTTATATACGAATTCACCCACTGGCCTAAACTCAATGCCCCAATCGAAGAACACGCTGACAATACATTTACAATGGTATCTTCATTAGGCTCAACTTCCTCTCCCTGAACCATCTCCTGAAAAAGCTTCACTGCCTCGTCACAAAATCCTTTTTGTGCATAACCACCCACCATGCTAGTCCAAGAATACACATCTCTCTTGGGCATATTTACAAACAAGCACCGTGCACTCACCAAAGACCCACATCTCATGTAAAAATCCAACACTGCATTGTCCAAAATAACATTCCTTTCAAATAACTTCCTCATACAATATCCATGAACGGATTTACCAAACTTTAAAGCTCCTAAACTCGAACAAGCGAACATGACAATGACAAGAGTAGTAGAATTAGGCGGCACATCCATGGACATAAACTTAACAATTGCTTCCTCCACAAATCTACACTTGTTAAGACCCGAAATCATCGAAGTCCACGAAACAACATCAGGGTTTGGTATGGAATCGAAAACCCAAGTAGCAAATACAATGTCAACTTGGGTTACGTAGAAGTGAAGCAACGAGTTTTGGACGAAGGTATCGGAAAAGTGCCTGGTTTTTACGACCGGGCGTGGACTTCCCGGCCCATGTTGTTATCATGGAGGAAGCAACATGCCTTGAGAGCGTAAGTGAATGTGTAGTGGTTGTGGGAGGTTGGGTAGTAGAGCATTTGGTTGTAGAGGAAAAGGGCAGTTTGTGGGGCAAGGGAGTTTGTGAGATGTCCCAGTTATTCGTGACTAGAATTTTTGTTGGGGATGTTTCTTAGCCGACGAGCACACAGCTCCCCGAGAGGTTGGCGCCAGTTGATGTTTTCTGTCGGGCTTCTGCTTCATTGGTGGGCTTGTCGGGCAAAACTTATCAGGCAAGGCTGAAAGAGAATGACAGAGTTAACTTTGAAAGGTGCTCCCAATCAAGATTAACTTTTAAGTGCTCAGGCGTGCCACTGCCATCTTCAGCATGGCAGATGTAAAACGGATGTTGAGTTTTAGTTGTATATACCCGAGAGGCTGTTTTAGTTATGAAATGTGTCTTTGTGGGGTCTTAGGTGCAGGCCTTGAGGCTTCCAATCAAGAACTAACCCAGTACTTGAATATATAATGTTTTGTTTCATTGGTTACAGAAGTATTATGATTATTATACTTCTGATTACCCGAGCCCGACAAGCAGAAAGAATCCAAATAGGTGCCTTTGTAGGGCCTTAGGTGTAGGCCTTAAGGCTTCCCATCAGAATTCCTTCTATTCTCAAACGTTCTTCGATAATCATAATATAATAGAAATAACACTAAGGGATAGGTCGATTACTTGCGCCCCAAGTAACTTCAGACTTCTTGTTTATCAAAGACTGTCGTGGATGGGTTAAGTCCACATAAGGTTCTTTTTTATGCCTTGAGGGCTTAGAACTTAGATCTAATTTAATATGTGAAGACATATTTAAATCAGATTCAAGAACTGAGGAGCCTTTTTAATCATCAACTTGCCAGAAATAACTTGGATACAACTGGAAGTATACAACATATTGCTAGACTACTGAATGAAAAGACAAAAACAAAGAAGGTCGGGCAAGGCTATCATCTTGCAACTTCCTATCTTTGTGGTTTATCAAGGGGTTTGAGAGTTTAGAAAGAGGGGTAGGGAGATGGGTTTACCGAAGGAAATCGATACTATAGCAAGTTTTAGACAAGGTAGCAGAGCTATTACAAAGGCTTTAGGTGAGGGTTGATCCCGAAAGGGATGAAGGCTTAGGCTGACTACAGCTTCATTGAAAGCAAATCTGGTTTGAGCAGAGTTTGTGCTTGTATTTGTTTGTTTGATTGAGTGTCCTTATCTCTGATTTCTCTTTCTTCTTTTATAGACATTTTGGCTTGGCCTCCTGTAGCAGTGATCTTGCCCGAATGCAACTTGAAGGGCAATGACTCATCAGTTTTTTACTTGTACTGCCACTGTAAAGTGCTTTTGGGCTGATTAGTTGGCTGGTCTACACCACTTGACCTCTAAGTAGGTGAGCAAGTGGTTCAAATGGTCAACTCCTAGTCAGAAAAGGGTCTCTCCTGCTTTCTGGGCTTTGGCTGGGCTTCGGGCTTTTCTCCTTCTAGACTTCTTTCTTTTGGGCCAACTCTTTCTTGAGCCCAAAGTTCAAGTTTTAACCCAAACACTAGTAGAGGGTTTAAAAGTTAGGGTTTAGGGTTTTTGATGATTTGGGCAAGGATGATTTTCTTTAATTGTCGTTTGATTATACTTTTTGACAAAAATGTATACACAGTAGGTGTTGGAATTGCTAGGCATTCATCTTTTTCTTGAGGAGAAATCGGACATCTAAAACAATTGTGGGCAGCGGAAGGGTGGGAATTTGGGTTGCGTAGAGGAAGGAAGGTGGAGGTAGGAGGGGGATCCGCATGTCGGGTTTGGTACATGCGATTTGGGGTGGGTACAGGGCTTTTCCAAATATTCTTAATACTAAACAGGGTGGGGCGGGGCAGGTCCAAATATATGAGCAAAAGGGTGCCCAACCTAGACCTTTTCCACCAGTCTAATATATGAGATTAAATCTCCACCCTTGGTTCTAATCTAAAAGGCAAACACTTGACTCTCTGTCTGTTCCTCCTTAGTTCATTCTCTCGAACTCGAAGCTTCAACTGACTTCGACTCTCGGTCTCTCACTCAGACCCAAATTCATAGAATGTCGTCAATCGATCATCGAACTCCGTCCCTTCGTTCGAGCAATAAGGGGGACAAGAATTGTCTGCCCTCTTGTTTTGTGTGGTCACGGTTAAGCCATTTCAACATTTTATTTTGTTTTTTTTATAAAGATAATAAAATAAAAATGAATAGTAATGTAAAATGTTGACGTGGCTTAACCGTGACCACACAAACAGGATGGCATGAGAGGGCACGGGAACAAGGAGGGCAGACAATCTTTGTCCTTGTTAGTATTGTCCTTGTTCTGTGGGTTTTCAAATTCCATTTAAATTTATTGACTTTGATTAGGATTGGGAGTCTTTAATCCCAACCCTCTACGCCAAACATAGATCTTGATCAAATTTCCCAATTGGATTAGACTATTTCCTTAATTGTATATTGAATCAACACTTTTTAAACATGAAAAGGAGAGACAAAAGTTAACACATGTGAAATATAACATCATTAGCTTCCTTCTTTTTTTTCTCTGGAGTGTATGTTACAAAATTACCCTTTATAGTAGAAATGTTTTTTCACACTGTTATCTCTTCATCTATTACTCTGTGTCAAGTGGTGTTCCCTACCAATAGACTTTTGACATCTGAATCTTCTTTTATCCCTTTTTAATCAAATAAATTCTTAAAAGCTGGAAGTCCAATAGTCAAACAAAAACTAAGGGATGTGAACTTGCCCATCAAGCACTTCTGCAACTTGCTTTCGAATTCCATCATATTTCCTACTCGATTTCGAATTCAATCTTGTTTGCCCAACACTTACCCTCCACTTTTGAATTGAAACCGTAGTCTAAAAAGAGAGTAAAAAATAACGGAAGTCAACTTCTAAATCCCAAAGCACGCCGTGCCCAAACCCGATTATCTCTCTCTTTCTCATGTTTTCATTTTCTGGGTGTTGGTAAATTTTGTGATGATTTCTAAATTAGTGAAAAGATTTACAGAATGAGTAATTGGTAATGGCGGTAAGAGTTGACGGTGGAAGTACAACTACGTTAAATTAATTGGTTTTCCGCCGACGATTCAGCATCTCAATTTTTAAGAATTAAAGATATAAAAGAATATTTAGATGTCAAATTTCAATTGGTGGGAACACCACCTGGCTTTTGTGCCGGGAACCGCAAAAAATTTCTCCACAGTGAGCTCGTGTTTCTACCTTCAGTAGAATCGATATTAATGTTATTGATAAATGGTTTTGGTTTGGGGTGCTATTTAGGCAATAAGCATTGCTAAGAGATCCAATAAATGGTGTGGGTTTATAGTCATAATTTTAAAGAAACTTTGGTTGAACTGATTCTGCAAAAATTGTCGTAGACAAGTTGAAATAATTCTACAAAAATGGTCAACGATGGGTTGAATTGATTCTACAAAAATGGTTGAGACTTATTGAACCGATTCTGCAAAAAATGGTCGATGACGGGTTGAACGGATTCTGAAAAATGTTCGAGGACGGGTTGAACTAATTCTACAATAATTATCGAAGACGGGTTGAACTAATTCTGCAAAAATGGTCGAGGATGAGTTGAACTGATTCTACAAAAATGATCGATGACTGATTAAACTGATTCTGCAAAAAATGTCGAGAACCGGTTGAACTAATTCCCCAAAAATGGTCGAACGGGTTGAACTGATTTTGCAAAAATGGTGGTGGACGGGTTGAACTGATTTTTGCAAAAAGGTGGATTGAATTGATTATGCAAAAAGGATCGATGACTGATTGAACTGATTCTGCAAAAAAGGTTGGGGATGTGTTGAACTGATTATGCAAAAATAGTCAAAGACGGGTTGAACTAATTTTGTGAAAATGGTCGAAGACTGATTGAATTGATTATGCTGAAATAATCGAGGATGGGTTGAGCTTATGGTACATATTAATTTTGTTGGAGTTGTGAGGGTTGGTTTCTATAACAGCCCTAAAGCCTTAGGGGTATAACTGGTATTTTAGAACATTGTTTCCATGTTTTTAGGCTAGACTTTAGTTGTTTTATGTTTTTGTGTCTCATTGATATGTTTAAAAACTAGTGGAGTTCCTTGAAATATAGTGAATTTTTTTGTCTCTATATATAAAGCTCCTAGTCCCTGGTGTTTTACCAACCAATCACCCAGCTACCCTATACTTGACATAAAAAAAAAAAAAAAAGGGAAATACCTCAAAATGGGACAATTTCATAATCTTGGAACAGAAATATGATTTTTTGAATGTGCATACAGCATGCACACGTTAGGTCTGGCAAACATGTCACGTTTGTCGTGTCGTGTTTGTGTAAAACTTGTTATCTTGACAGATCATGTCGTGTTACACCCATTATCTTAATGGGTCATTAACACGTCAAGTCACTTTACCCAACAAGTAAACTGACCCGACCTGTTATGACCGGTTAAGAAAAATATTTTTTTTCCTTAAATTTGCACATACCAAATTCCCACATAAATATTACTTCAAAGCATAAAAGCACATTTATCGTTAAGTACTACATCTACACTCCAAAATAAGAGCTTAATAAAAAGGCACCAATACACTACTAGTCTAATACAAAATATCAAATGTGCAACGATATGCAAAATGGATGAGTTTTTCTTTTCAAAGTTGCGAAGCCTTTCTCAAAAGTTAAAACCTTAGCAATGAAACTCAAAGCTTGCATGTTATTCATTTTACAAAATCCTTCAATTTCATCGATCACCATAGGGAAATTGTATTGGAACTTTGGCTTGATCTATTGCCTTCAAGAGTTACGTTGATA